CCCGAGGCCGGGGTGGACGGACCGAGCCGCGCGGAGAGAGGCCCGCGGCGCGCAGCGGCCCCCGAGCTCAGCGCGCAGCCGGCCGGCAGTCCGCGGGCCAGCCTGGCGGGCTCGGACGGCGGCAGCGCCCGCTCCAGCGGCATCAGCCTGGGCTACGACCAGCGCCACGGCAGCCCACGCTCCGGCCGCTCCGACCCACGCCCCGGGCTCGGGCCGCCGTCGGTGGGCAGCGCCCGCTCCAGCGTGTCCAGCTTGGGCTCCCGCGGCTCGGCGGGCGCCTACGCCGACCTGCTGCTGCCCCTGCCCAGCACCTGCCCCGCGCCGGCCCGCTCCCCAGAGCCTGCCGGGCCGGCCCCTTTCCCGCTGCCTTCGCTGCAGCTGCCCCCGGCCCGGGAGGGCGGCCCGAGCGCGGCTGAGCGGCGGCTGGATGCGCTCACCCGGGAGCTGGAGCGGGCGCTGGAGGCGCGCACCGCGCAGGATTACTTTGGTGAGCGAGTGCCTCGCCGGCCGGCCGGGGTCGGGTGCCAGGGCTCGGGCGTCGGAAGGCAGCCTGGACGGAGAAGTGGGTCTCATGTGGGCTGGGGAGCTGGCGGCGTTTTGTGAACTGCTAAGTCTAGGGTTATTCTCAACAGTGGCTTCCCCTCTAGGTCTCCCGCTACAGAGCGGGTTCTGGTAAAGTGAGTGGATGCGCTGTGCCTGACTTGAAAGTCAGGTTGACAGAACGAGCTATTTTCTGCCGTTTTCCCCTCCTTTTTAAAAAAATTAAATTTTCATTTCTAAAAATTTTGAGACAAGATCTCATTGCGGGAGCTGCGCCACCATGTCTGAATTGGCCTTCTTAACCTTTGGCACTTGCCGCCGCTCATCATGCTTGTGGTGTCGACATCAGCAGAAGGGACGCCTGTCAGCCTGGTGCTGCTCTCACCCAGCTGTATGGGTTGTGCACAGAACCCCGAGGGATAGAGAGGACGACCAAGCCAGGCTCACTGGGTTGCTCCTGGTTGTTCTGTGTGTAGCAGATGTTTCTTAAAGGAATCCTGCTTCGAGGAATTCTGCATCGAATGCGGTTGTAAAGCCCATCAGTCTCCGACAGCCTCCATGTCCCAGTTCCGCCCTGGCCCGCTCATCCCTTTGGACTACCCTTAGGGTGAAGTTAGGGGCAGGCAGAAGTACTGTAGGACCTGAGCAAAGTGCTCCCCTCGCTCCCCCCCCCCCACTTCCCAGTAAGCGGAAGGATGAGGCTCCTGGCTTTGGCGGGATGGGTGGTTATCAACCCCGGGACTGAGGCTGTCCTGGGGTTTCTATCTTTCTTCCATTTAGTGGAGCTAACAACTCTGGAATGCCCTGAACTGGATTTTGAGCGGTGAGCAGGCTGCATTTTTCAGGCCAGTCTGGGGCATTCCAGACAGAGCAAAAGGAAGCATGTGAGGGTGTCCGACTGTGCTTCCCGCCGGCTCCTTGTGTAGCCCAGGAGGGGTCAGGAGGTCAAGGTCGTGTGTGGGCTATTGGGTTGCCTGCCTTGGGGATGGAGAGCGTCTTCCTGGTGGGAGACTGTGGTCTGGCAGGTCTGGTGGCTGCTGTTAGCTGGCTAGGGTGCCCGAAGGAAAGTAAAAGAGTGTTGCCGGTCAGCAGGCAGATGCCAGGAGCAGAGCTGGGGCTGTCTGCTAAAGAAACCGCTCATCTGTGCTCTCTTCAGGGAAGCTAGCCAGTTGCTGGCCCCCGATGCATGGCAGAGCCTGGGCAGGCATGCACCTGTTGGCCTCCATGGCTGTTTTTTTTTTTTTTTTCTGGTACCGGGGATTGAACTCAGGACCTTGCTCTTGCAAGGCAGGCACAGCACCACTGAGCTAAATCCCTGGCCCCTGTTCCAGAATTTTTATGTGATGTTGGCATGGCCCTGGTCCCAGCAGGTAATGTTGGAAGCAAAGGGGTCCATGGTGGAAATTTGTATGTGTGTGTGCATGCATGTGATCATCCTTCCTACAGAGGAGTTGGACTCAACTTCTGCTCTCTGAGTATTGATGATAGGTTTTTATCACCCCAAGGGCAGCGAGAAACCAAGATTTAGGTAACGGTTCTCTGTTTCTTAAAAGTATGAGGAGTGACAGATGTGGTGGGCATTCCTATACTCTCAGCACTCTGGGAGGGTGAGGCAGGAGGATTGCAAGTTTGAGCCAAGCCTGGGCAATTTAGTGACTTAGCAAGACCCTGTCTCAAAATAAAAATTAAAAAAGAGCTGGAGATGTAGCTCAGTTCAAAGGCCCTGGGTTCCATCTCTAGTACTATTAAAAAAAAAGAAAAGCAACTGTTCAACTATTTGCTTGAGCTGTATGGTTCTCACAATACTTGACTTCTTTGAGCTACAGAGGTGGTAATTTTCAAGCTGGGTGTAGTGGTGCCACCTGTAATCCCAGCACTGAGGAGGCTGAGGCAGGAGGATTGCCACAAGTTTGAGGCCACCCTGGCCTATGTAATGAGTTCAAGGCCAGCTGAACTACATAACGAGATCTTAATCTCAAATAATAAAAAAAATTTTTTTTAAAAGAAAAGAAAAACCAAAGGTGATAATTTCATATACTAGTTCAGCTTGAATAAAACAAAATTTGATCGGCCAGGGATTTAGCTCAGTGGTTTCGTTGCCTGCTGCGCAAGCACAAGGACCCGAGTTCGATACCCGGTACCAAAAAACACCAAACAAACAAAAAAAATTTGATCAAGGTAGTGTGAGCTCCAGGGATCCTTGAGAGACCCCATCTGCAGAGCCTTTCTCTCTTTTTGTGATCCCTCCTGATTCCCCCTCCATGCCCTGGTGCCAGCTGAACTCTTGGTCCCTCTCTGCCTTTCACTGATGTCTGTGGAACTTTCTTCTCCCTTCCCCAAGCTCCACTGCCATTAGCCAATAGCCTTTGGCCTCTGGAACCTCTTGGTGGCCTCCCTGCCTTCTGAATTTGGGCCACCCAACTCCCAGGGCCACACCCTGTTTTTGCTTCTCCCCTGCAGCCTTCAGTTCCAACTCCAGCCACTTCTCACCAGCACTTCTGACTCCTCTCAGCTACCTGCCCTGCAGGATCCCAGCTGAGTCCCTACTGAAGCCCCTCTGCAGCCCTGTGGGGCCCTGAGTGCCTCTGAGGAAGCTGCTGGGACCATGGCAGCGTCTTCAACCTCGGTGGGCTTCTTGGTAGCATTGCTCCCTCCTTTCCTCTCCCTTCCCCCTTCTTTCTTTCTTTTTCTTTTTCTTCTCAGTACGGGGGATCAAACCTAGCGCCTTCACACAGATCCACATCATCCCCAGCTCTTTTTTATTTATTTTTCGTTTTGGAGCCAAGGTCTCACTGAGTTGGCCAGACTAGGCTGGAACTTGCAGTCCTCCTGTTTCAGCCTCCCAGGTGCTGGCATGACAGGCCTGTGCCACCATGTGCCACCATGCCCAGCCCAGTTTGAACTCAGCAAGCTTGTCTCTCCTCTAATGCTTGCTCTTGCTTTCCACTTGCTCAGAATATCAAGGTCACCAGTTGCAGTCTGTTTCCATCAGCTTCTTGCTCCTCACCCTCAAGCTCCCTCCAGTCCACACCAGCCGTTCTTCCTGCCATCTGAGAAGATAGGGTCCTCCGTCTGCATCCTCCATCTTTTCCATCTGCAGTTTCTCTTTCCAGTGGCCATTTTTCTTTGGCTACAAATTTGTACAAAGGTCTTGTCCCTCCCTCCCTCCCTTCTTTCCTTCCTGTGCTAGCGATCAAAGCCAGGGCCTCATGGAAGATAGGCAATCATTCTACCACTGAACTACATCCCCAGCCCTTTTAATGTTTTATTTTTTTGAGACAGGGTCTGGCTTTGGAATTCTCCTGCCTCAGCCTCCCTAGTAGCTGGGATTATAGGTGTGCGGTATGCCACCTTGCCCAGTTGTATGAGGATCTTACATAAAAAAAAAAAGGCAAAAACAAAACTCCTAAACCTGCATGGCCACAGAGTCTCCTCAGTCCTTTCATCTCCCCTCCTTCCCATCCCTGTGTCTTGCTGAGATGATCTCTGCTCATTCACCTCCAGATCCCCTCAGCCGTCTGCTCTGTCTCCTCTTGATTGATTTGGCCCAGCTCTTGCACAGTGTGACAGTGACGCCCCAGCCTGGCACCAGCCCTAGCCATTATTTTCTAGGCCTTGAATGTCTGTATCTTGCTCCTGTATCTGACAGCACTTACAGAGTCTGCTCTCCTTGAAGCATTCTCCCTTATCTCTCAAGTGCCTCATGCTCCTGGTTCTCTCTTTAATGTGTTTCTGTTTGTTTGAGACAGGGTCACACTGTGTACTACAGGCTGACCGTGAACTCACTGTGTAGGGCACACTGGCCTCCAACTCACTGAAATCCTGCCTCAGCTTCCCGAGTGCTGGGATTACAGGCCTGTGCCACCATGTCTGGCACTTTAGTGTATTTATATTAAAGGCATGCAAGCACATACTGAAAGGAAAAAACACAAAACCCAAAAGCTAATGCAAGGTGGAGGCTTCTTCTCTTGTCCATTCTTCCCTCCTGCTTTTTGGGGGTGGCTGAGTTTTGTTTTTGCACTAAAAAGTCTGTCTGTTCCAGGGATGTCTTCAGGGACATGATGAGGCGAGAGTCTCAAAGCTGATGGATAAGAAGGAAGGTGGGAGGGTAGATCTTTTTCACTTAGTTTTTTCCCTCCCAGTGCTGGGATTGAACAGACAGCCACTGCACTGAACTACATCCCAGCCCTATTTATTTACGGGGTCTTGCTAAATCATGAAGTTGCCTAGTCTGGACTCAAATTTGCAATCCTCCTGCCTCCTCTTTGCAAAGTACCAAGATTACATGGATGTGCCACCACACCTGGTTTTTATTTTATTTTTTGGTTCTTTGAGACATGATCTCGCTGCATTTTCAGGCTGGCCTTGAACTCATTATGAAGCCCAGGCTGGCTTTGAACATGTGACAATCCTCCTTCCTCAGCCTCCCAAGTGCTGGGATCACAGGGGTGTGCCATTATGAGCGACTCTCTTTCATCTTTTTTTTTTTTTTTTTGGTACCGGGGATCGAACTTGGGTCCTTGCGCTTGCGCAGCAAGTGGCGAAACCACTGAGCTAAATCCCCGGCCCAGCTCTCTTTCGTCTTGAAGTGATGAGTCTGGCTGCAGTTTGGGTGGTGGGCTATTGGGGACTGGGCAGAGGGGCTTGTGATCCACGGTCTGAATCAGGCTAGTGAGAGTAGGGGGTAGGAGTGAAGCCAAAACTAGGGAACAAACCAGGCATGGTGATGGACATCCGTTATTCCAGCTACTCAAGAGGCTGAGGCAGGAGGATTGCTTGTGTCCAGGAATTGGAGACCGATCTGGGCAGCACAGCAAGACCCCTATCGCAAAAAAAAAAAAAAAAACAAGACCCAAAAAAGAGGAGCGTTGGTTCTGAGTTGGAGGTGAGGGAGAGGGACACACCTTGGTAGACAGAAGTGCCATCTTCTGAGGGAGAAACCAAGCCTGGAGCTGTTTGGGGGCATCTAGAACACTGGACACAAAGTGTCCGGGGACCTCTGGAAAGTGGATCAGTGCTCAGGGGAGTCTGGGCTGGAAGAGAGCACCTGGAGCCCTGGGTAGACTGGGTGGTAGGGAAGGAAGATGGGAGACCCACAGAGACCAGGAAGCCACGGCCACATGCAGAAGCCTGCAGGTAGTGTTTGCTTGGCTGCTGCATTTTTAAAGATTTAAATTAACATGGAATGGATTGGAAGTGGAAGGATTTCTTGTACAGATCTGGATTTCTAGCTTTTCTTGAAAAATCAGGATCTCTGGCCTTGCTTTTGGGAAAGAGCAGGGGAAGTACTGAAGAGTGCTGGGAAGGGAGCAGATGCAGAAATTCAGGGCAGGCTGTGTCTCAGAGACCAGAGGAGGGGTGGTCCATGCTCTAGCAAGACGGGTCAGAAAGGGCACAGCTGTGGGCAGTGAGGAGGTGACTGGGTGTGCACCAAGCCATCGTCTTCACTGAGGAAGGGGCTGGGGTGTTTGATGGAGAACGTAGGGGTTTTTCAAGCCAGGAGAGGTTTGTTTAGTGTCACGGAAGTTGAGTATCCCTAATCTGAAAATCTGAAATGCGTTGAAGTCCTAAACTTTTCTGAGTACCAACATGGCACTCAAAAAGTTTAAGATTAGCCAGGTCGGGCCAGGGATTTAGCTTAGTGGTGCTACTGGTTGCCTCGCAAGCAGAAGGTCCTGAGTTCGATTCCCGGTAGCCCTCCCCCCCCAAATAAGTTAACCAGGTATGGTGGCACATTCCTGTCATCCCAGAACTCAGGAGGATGAAGCAGGAGGATCACACATTTGAGGCCATCCTGGGCAGCTTAGTGAGACCCTGTCTCAAAAACAAAACAATCAAAACAAGACAAGCAAAAACCTCTTTTAGAGTTTGGAGCATTTTGAATTTCAGATTAGATTAGAGATGCTTAAAGCCTGTGTACATATTCCATAATCTGAAAAAAACTCCAAAATCTGAGACATTTCTGGTCTTGGCGAGTTTCAGATAAGGGATACTCAGTCTTTATATGGAAAAAGAGTTGGGGTGGCGGGCGGGGACACAGCATGTCCTGGAGCAGCCAGAAGAGGCAGGTGGGCTGAGCCATCTTCATGCTCTGTGGGGCAAGGGAGACCCCCAAGTCTTGCTGTGAAGGTGATTCACGCCAGGGCTGCTGGTCACCTCTGGGTCTCAAGGAGGGTGGTCAGAGTGCCTGCAGGCTGAAGCCCGGCTTCCTCTGGGAATTGTTAGTCACTCCTCTCTTTTCCACCCTCTGCCCTGCTGGGCAGCATGCTGCACACCCCGCCAACAGTGGTCCCCTGTTCTATCCGGCAGTCCCAGATACCTGTATAGCAGCTGCTACCTCCCATTATTTCCTTCAGGCTTTTGCTCAAATACCACCTTGCCATCAGAGGCTTCCCTGAGCAGTCTGTTTAAAAACCACTCAGACTTTTGTGTGAGTGTGTGTGAGTATGTGTTTGTGTGTGTGTGTGGCACTGGGGATGGAACCCAGGGTCTCATTCCTGCTGGGCAAGTGCTCTTCTACTGACTGGGTGACACCCCAGACCCTAAACATACTCTCAACCAGCCTTATTTTTCTCCATAGCACTTGTTTCCGCCTGACATTATTTAGCGGGTGGTGTTGATCTCCTCCCTGGAGTACAGGCTCCTTGGGGGTGGGGACTTGTGTACCACAGGATTTCTCCAGCTGTGAACTGTGGGGCATGAGGTGGGCCATCAGTGTGTGTCGCCTGAGGAGAGACTACGGGTGCCTTGTGGTACAGAGGAGGGAGGGTGTCTGGAGAGGGTGAATGACTGCTCCTCAGTGTGCCTGTGTGGTCTTACTTCTTTGAGTCTGGGTCAGAAAATCCATGTTTATTTTGAAGAATAGGATTTGCTTCATAGACAGCAGAACGGATTTTCCCTCAGTGCAAGGTCCTCTACCTCAGGTCGTGGGAGGAGGGGTAGGTGTATCCTGATAACTGATGAATGACTTTAGGCGCTCTGCTCAGCTCTTTGAGTCCTCAGGTGACAATAACAAGTAGTGGATTCCCTTATGGTCCCCTGTTAGTCACTAGTGACCTGTGATATTGACCTAGGGATGTGGACCTTCCCAAGGTCAGGCAGGCAGGCAGCACTGGGACAGGAGCCACATGCCTGTCCTTCTGGCTCCACAGTCCATGGTGCCAAGCACTGCTCTCTCCACCTCTCCTCCCCTAGGCATTTGCAACAAGTGTGGGCTTGGCATCTATGGAGCAAGGCAGGCGTGCCAGGCGATGGGGAGCCTCTATCACACCGACTGCTTCATCTGTGACTCCTGCGGTAGGTAACCTCTTCCCTGTACCCTTTTTGCTCCCTTGCACCCAAGTCCCAGGAAGATGGGCCACCTAGCTCTGGCCCAGGCTGGCCACAGTCTTCCCATGCACATGGGTTATGACCCCTGGCCCTCTGTGCCTGGCTTGTTAGAGGCCCAGGCCTATGGGGAGATGTGCTAGGGCCTGGGGAGGGAGCCGTGGAGCCACTGAGGAGCCCTCTGGGGTTGTAGGAAAGGCCACCCCTTCTGTCCTCTGCTCTGGCCTCTGTCACCTGCTAGGGTCTGCTTGGGAGGGGGGTGTGGAGCAGCCAGGGGTCTCTTGCCTGTCTGGACCTAGGGCTAATGTTCTTTTTTCCTACAATTTATTTATTTTTGTCTCTGTTTACATGCAGTATAAATATAGATGTTATAAAAAGAAAAAAGTAACTGTAATTTACCCACCCTAATAAATCTGCACTCTTGATTTTCCCACTGTTCTTACAGATTTTGCCCCTAAGCAGACTTTTATTTATTTCCATTAAACATTTTAATATTTTGTTACAGAATAATATGTGTACAGTGGTAAGTCAAATAGTTTTAATAAAAAGCGTTTATTCTTGAGGAACTGGCAATAGGACACAGGGATTCATACATGCTAGGGAATGCTCTGGAGTAAGGTATACCCCTACCCTCAGTAAGTGTTTTTTAAACAAAAATTTGTGTTTTTGTTTGTTTGTTTTTCGGTGGTATTGGGCATTGAACCCAGGGCCACTCTACCACCAAGCTACAGGTTTAGTGCTTTTAATTATTTTTTTATTTTGAGATAGGGTCTTGCTCAGCTACCTAGACTGGCCCCGAACTTGTGATCCACTTGCGTCGGTGGCATGTGCCACCAAAGCCAGCTTAGCTTTAATTTTTTTCATCTCAAATATTCGATTCAGGCTTTGTATCGAGTTCCCATTGGACGGCCCTCACCAGTCTGCGCCCTTGAACTCTAGGCCTGTGTGGAGCACTCATTCCACCCTGGGAGCCTACTTTCTGTGTTGAATCCACTATTTCCTGCAGGGAATGCGAGGAGGCTTCAACTCTGAGTCTGTTTGTTGGCCTGGTGAAATGGAAACCCAGAGAAAGGACTGGCTTCAGGCTGAGGTTGCTTCAGCAGCTCAGGCAATTATGATTTGGTTGGCTGGGTTGCCGTTGGGTTTGGGCTTATCTTTGGGACAATTTGTGTCACCATGTCCTGGTAAGATGTCCTGGCAGTAGCTTAAGACTTCAGTTTTATTCCACTGGTCAGATGGGAAAGGGCATATCTGTCTCTCTCTGTTTTGGTGGTATTGGGAATCATTCTGGTTACTTCCTTGGAGTAGGCACAAAACTCCTTTTCTAGAAAGTTTATCTTGTATCTTACTGGCCAGGTTATTCTGAACTAGTCCTTGTGGCTGGGGGTGTTCTGTGACTGACTTGCCTGAGTCTGACCAGCATCGTGGTTAGGGCAGGGGAGCTCAGGACTACCAGGGGATGGAAGTGAGTTCAGGTTTCCTGAAGCATAGGTGAGGGAGGCTGGAGACAGCGAAACTTGAAGATTGAGGAGGAGAATCAGTCCCGTGAGGAAGCCACAATGTGTCCAACATAGTCTTCTTGCTTTTTGTAGTTATCTAAGAAAGGGGTTGTGGGAGGGAAGTTTTCTGGTAGGTGTAATGGGTTTTCATTGGTCCTTTATTAACATTTGATGGGGAATAGATTTCCAACATAGAAATAACTTTTGTTTCTGGTTTTTTTTTTTTTTTTGGTGGTACTTGGGCTTGAACCCAGAGCCTCATGAATGCTAGGCCAGTGCTCTACCACTGAGCCACACCTCCAGACCTCACTTAGCATTTTGGATTCGTAGTTTTTTCTTCTAAGTGTTCTGATAAATTCTGATGCCATTCAGATTCATTCTTTCTCTAAGTTGGGGGTCTCACTGTGTTGCCCAGGATGGACTCAAACTTCTGGGCTCAAGTGATCCACCTGTCTCAGCTTCCAGCATAGCTGGAACTGCAGGTGTGCCAGACTCTGTTCTCATTGTGCATGGGTGTGTGTGTGTGATCGATCTGTTTCTTCCTTTTGGGAACTCTCAGGAAGAAGGCCAGTACATGGCACAGATCTTTGACACTTTCCTGTGGTGGCCTGTGGGGATGGTGTGTAATAAAATACAGCGTGAATGGTGCCCTGTACAACACAGCAGCTGGGCTTAGGGGATTCTGTGTTTGGTGTAGGCTTTTGCTGTTGGTTGGGCTAGACTCTCCTGGAGCCCTTTCAGAGTGCGGGGTTGCCCCTTAGTTCTGAGAGTTTTCTTTCTCTTTTTTGGGTGGGTGGGTATTGGGAATCGAACTTGGGACCTTGCGCTTTCGAGGCAGGTGGTGGAACCACTGAGCTAAATCCTTGGCCCTGAGAGTTGTTTCTTTTTTTTTTGTACCGGGGATCAAACTCAGGTCCTTCCACTTGTGCAGCAGGTGGTGAAACCACTGAGCTAAATCCCTGGCCCAAGAGTTTTTTCTTGTACTATTTATTTATCCCTTGAACTAAATTTAACAATGTATAATTAAGATAATATATTTTGACCAAATTACTTGTATAATACACTCGTGTTTCTCCGAAAAGAGGATCTAACTAGAGATCAAGAATGCCAGCCCCAGTCGGCCTATCCTTGCCTTACCTGCCATTGCACAGTAGCTCTGTAGCAAGAGAATAGTGTTTTTTTCTTTTTTTCTTGGTACCAGGGATCGAATTTGGGTCCTTGGCGCTTGTAGGACAGGCAGTGGAACCACTGAGCTAAATCCCCAGCCCAAGAGAATAAATAGTGAGTTAAATGTTCTGCATGACACTGGCCATCACCATGGTAATGACTGGCTAGGACTTATTTTCCAGTCAGGTCTTACTTTGGGGGAAAATAAAAGTATTGTGAATCCACATTAGAAAATTCATTAATGAGGGCCGGGGATTTAGCTCAGTGGTTTCACCGCCTCCTGTGCAAATGCAAAGACCCGAGTTCGATCCTCAGTACCAAAAAAAACCCAACAACAACACCAAAACAAACATAAGTAAAACTAAAGGCAAAAATTAGCATAGAAAATTCATTAATGTAATCTGCCTCATAAACAGATTAAAGGGAACAAATATAATCATTTCAATAGGTATAGAAAAAGTAGCCAGTAAAATTCAATATTTATTTATTTATTTATTTTTTGGATTTTTTTATTTTTATTTTTTTTGGTACCGGAGATCCAACTTTTGTTACCGGAAGACCCTGTATGGTTCAGGCCACCCATGAACTGTGTAGCTTAGGTTGGCTTCAAACCCACAGTGATCTTCCTGCCTCAGTTTCCCAACTGTTGTGATTGCAGGTGTGTGCCACTATGCCCAGCTCAATATTCATTTATCAGAGAACTAATAGCAAGCTAGAAATAAAATGGAATTGGGCCCGGGGATTTAGCTCAGTGGTTTCACCACCTGCTGCGCAAGCGCAAGGACCGGAGTTCAATCCCCAGTACCAAAAAAAAAAAAAAGAAACTTTCTAAGCCTAATAAATATTGATTACTATGAATCTATGCAAATGTCATACTTAGTAATGAAATATATATACCTGTGTTTGTTTAGTACTAAGATTGAACCCAGGGCCTTCACACTGAGCCATATATCTCCAGCTCTGTTTTGTTTTTTGGTACCAAGGATTAAACTTGGGTCCTTACGCTTGCGCAGCAGGTGACGAAACCACTAAGCTAAATCCCCGGCCCTACCAGTCTTGAGTGTATTTCAGCTTGAAGCATTTTCTTTTTTTCTTTCTTTTTTTTTGGTGCCGGGGATCGAAGTCACATCCTTCCGCTTGTGCAGCAGGCGGCGAAACCACTGAGCCAAATCCCCGGCCCTACTTGAAGCATTTTCATGTGTACCTGTGCCTGGGTAACCACCCAGATCAGTAAGTGGTAAACATTTCCATCACTCTTCCCTTCTCAGTCAATTTGTTAATGGACTCTTTTTTCTTTTTTTTTTTTTTGCTGTGCTGGGGACCTCTGAGCTACAGTCTGTTAGTGGGTTGTTAAGCTGTTTGTAGAAAATTGGCTATTATGAATAAAAGCACTAGTATACATGTCCGTTGATGGACATTTTTCTCATCTCTAGTAGTGGAGTTGCTGAGTCATGGAGTAACATTTGTATGGGTTTAATACATAATATGAAACAGTTTACTAGAGTGGAGGAACCGATTTATAATACCATTGGGAGTATATTAAGAATTCCAATTTTCCTGATTCCTTCCAGCACCAAGCATCGTCCATCTTTTAGTCATTCTGGTGAAGGGGGAGTAGTGTCTTAATGTGACTTTAATTTGAATTTCCCTTGATGAGTAGTAATGACTCTTGGTTCTTTCATGTGCTTGTTGGCCACTTGAATATATTTGTTTATAAAGTGCTTGTTGACCCCTGCCTCCTTTTTTGTTGTATTAGGCATTGAACCCAGGGCATTGACACTGAGCTACATCCATAGCCCTATTTATTTATTTGTACTGGGGATCGAACTCAGGACCTTGCACTTGCTAGGCAAGCACTGTGCTGCAGAGCTACATCCCTGCCATTTGTTTATTTGTTTATTTATTTATTTATTTCGTAGCTTTAAAAATTTTTATTTATTTAAAAAAATTTTTTTTGGTACCGGGGATTGAACTTGGGTCCTTGCACTTGCGAGGCAGGTGGCGGAACCACTGAGCTAAATCTCCGGCCCCACTTTTTTTATTTTTTGAGATAGGGTCTCACGAAGTTGCTGAGTTGCCCAGACTAGACTCAAAGTTGCAGTCCTCCTACCTTAGCCCTCCAGAGTTCTGGGATTATAGGCATACATGCACCATTGTACCTGGCTCCCATTTTTAAATTGAGCTGTTTGACTTTTTCTTATCAATTTGTAGGAGTGCTTTGCATATCTTAGATAAAGTCCATTATGTATATATGTACTGTCATATCTTTTCTCAACCTGTGGTTAACTCATCTCTTTCTTAATG